TAATTTAGAGATGTCATGAAAGTGGCAGCTATGAGAGATGGAAGTGTAATGCTGATACAGTAGAGGTGCCATTATAAGGCTGGGATTAAGGCTTATCAAGGCAAATTAAAAGAGAGCCTTGTTCTTCATCTGACTTGAGCTGTCACTTACTGTTTCTGGTCAAGAGCTCTGGGGATTCATTTCTTTTACTTTGATATACATTGTGCCTGAATCGTCTGAGTTGATGTTTTAAATTGCGTAGTGGCTTTTTTTCATCTTTGCATGATTGGTGTCTTGTTTTGGTGACTACAATTGCAAAATATATTTTAGTAATTAATTGTATAGTTTCATTAATTGTGTACTTCAGCAGATCCTTAAGTTTTGTTTCTATTTGTTCGTGGGCTATAAGCGATGCTGACTAGGCCACTTTCTACTTGAACTAATTGGTCTGTAGGGCTTGGTCTGCAGTCACGTGTAGGCCAAACCTGGTAAGGATAACAGATTTCCTTCTCTAAAGGACATTAATGAACCAGCTGGGTATTTACAATGTCCACCAGCTTTTAATTCCAGACTTTTTTTTTAATTGGATTCCAATTTCATTATCTTCCATGGTGTGATTCAAACCCATGTCTCTAAAACATTATCCTGGGGATTACTATTTGAGTTAGTAATGCTATTACATCGCCCCTAAATGCCCACCTCAATGCTAGCTGCTACTTTTCATGGGATATTAGTGATACTGGCAAGTCCTACATTTATTGCCCAATCCTGGTCAGTCTTAAGATGTTGATGGTGAGCTGCCTTTTCTAATTGCTGCAATCAGTGCTATAAAAATACTGTCACACTACCGTTAGGCAGAGAGCTCCTGAATTTTGACCAAGTTACAATTAAAAAACACAATATATTTCTAAGTTAGGACGGTGTGCGTCTTGGAGATGGCAGTGTTCTCATCAATCTACTGCCTTTGATTTACTTAGTGATGAAGGTCACTGGTTTTGGAAGTGTTAATGAGGAAGCCTTGGCAACTTGCTGCAGTGCATTTCGTAGATGGCCCATACTGCAGTCATGGTCAGCTGGTGGTGTAGGGACTGAATATTTAAGATGGTAAATGGGGTCCCAATCAAATGAGCAAATTTGTCCCTGATGATGTGAGAAATTTCTGGCCAGAAAACAAAGCATCTTCATCACCAAAACTACCAGACCACCATGGGGAAAAGTGTATTTCTGTTGAAACTGGGAGTTTTAACTTGGCTCTCTCGAGGTACTAGAGGTCAGTGCCTTTTAGCCCTTTTAATTTCCACAGTTGGGTTTTACATCAGATACTGCCTGATAAGGCATAGAGCATTGACATTTCCATCAGAACTGTGCTGGGAGTAAATCATTTAGAGAATCACATTTCAAGGTTAGTTTAGGCTTAAAGAAGGAAACTAGACCTGAAACAAGGGTCATTCCTGTCATACCCAAAGTATTTTAAAATCTTAATATATATTTAAATATAAACTTGTGGCATATAAAAAAGATGAATGCCAATTTCTTGACAAATCCCTAAGGAAATCAAATGACTTTTAGGAAATTGTGGTGTCACTTCACTCTACATGCTTGCAGTGGCAATAGATATGCTCTGTTCCAATTTCCTTCAGACAGTGTCATCAATTTGACCATCTCGAAGGTCATAGACATCTTTGCCCTTTTTTGCTTGCGATACCCCTGGGCCTCTAGCAGTGCAGTGGTAGTGTCCCCACCTCTAGACTATGCGTCCCAGGTTCAAGTCCCACCTGCTCCAGAGGTGTGTAATAATATCTCTCTAAACCAACTGATTGGAAAATATCTATCTGTAACAACCCACTCTGTCAAAGTTGCTTCCATTGCTCAATTTTAATTTATGCTATCTCTGGTTGGGCTCCAACATATGTTCGCCACCTTCCTCATTTTCCTCAGACAAGGGGAGACTTTGAGGTTTTGACACCAAGAAGAGAATGATAGAATCCCTACAGTGTGGAAGCATGCTACTCAGCCCATAGAGCCCATATCGACCCTCTGAATAGCATCCTACCTAGACCCACACCCTACCCTATCTTTATAACCCAACGTTACCTATGGCTAATTCAACTAGCCTGCACATCACTTGACACTATGGGCAATTTAGCATGGCCAACCCACCTAATCTGCACATCTTTGGATAGTGGGAGGAAACCAGAGCAGCCGGAAAAATCCACACAGAGATGGAGAGAACAACTCAACTCCGCACCGACAGTCGCACAAGGGTGGAATCGAACTTGGGTCCTTGGCACTATTAGGCAGCAGTGCTAACCACTGAGCCGCAGTGCCCCCCACCCCAAGAGGGTCAGGATAAAGATCTAAAAGTTATGGCAAGAATGTGAATGCTTCATGCACCTGGGATTAGCATTAACAGAAATTTTAAATCTGACAATAGAAATGAAGTATCAAATGAGCTCTCGTTGGAGTAGTTGGAAGGGGTGCAGTAGGTTGTTACATGATTGATCAGTAGCACTGAAGAATCAATGGGCCTTATGTGGGGCCACATCAAGAAGAGAGGAACAATAACTGTATTAATGAGGTGTGTATGCTGAGATGGGTGTTTGGAATAGTAAAAAAGGACAAGATCAGGAACTAATGCTTTGGAGGATCAGTGAAGATCATGAAAGTATTAAATAAATCTGAGAAACGATTAAATCAGTATGCTTATCTGTTTCACAAGGAGAGACAGGGGACATGTGTTGAAGCAAGTGATAGAGATGGGACAGCCAGGGAAAAGGAAGTCTGAAACCAGTTAGAAATCTGGGTGGCAAAAATCCAGGGGAATTAGTAAAGGAGTGGGTGACTGACAAGAAAAGATGGGGGTAATCTAGCAGCATTGTGGCAACCCCAAATAAAATGGGAGAAGCTAAGAGACTTCAAGGTCATCTGCTTGATCGCTTCAGAATTAAATAAAAATTTTCAAAGTTCATTTCCTAATTGTTCAATTCCTCAATTTCCTTTTCAGTGGCCTCGAATGTCACCACCCAACCTCAATGTGTATTTCTCCTACAACTCCTTGTTTGAATCCTTCTAATTGGATTTCCTCCCATGACTGGAAAAATGGTCCTTACCACACAATGGAATTTGCTATTCAAATCCCTCCAAATTGTCACCTGCTCATTTTCTTTTAACAACTTACACACTCAGTGGTAGGGCCCTGGGGAGTGTTGTTGAACAGAGAAACCTAGGGGTTCAGATATATAGTTCCTTCACAGTAGCGTCACAGGTAGACAGAGTGGTGAAGAAGGCATTTGGCACACTTGTCTTCATTGGTCAGAGCATTGAATATAGGATTTGGGATGTCATGTTGCGGCTGTACAGGACATTGGTGAGACTGCTTTTGGAGTACTGTGTGCGGTTCTGGTTACCCTACTATAGGAAAGATATTATTAAACTGGGAAGGGTGCAGAAAAGATTTTCAAAGATGTTGCCGGGACTGGAGGGTTTAAGTTATAAGGAGAGGACTTCTTTCTCTGGAGCTTAGGAGGTTGAGGGGTGTCCTTATAGAAATTTATAAATTCATAAGGGACTTAGATAAAGTGAATAGCAAAGGTCTTTTTCCTCGGGTAGGGCAGTCTGAAACTAGAGGCAATAAAAACTGAAAGAACTGCAGATGCTGTAAATCAGAAACAAAAGCAGAAATTGCCGGACACCACAGCATGTCCGGCAGCATCTGTGAAGAGAAATCAGAGTTAATGTTTCAGGTCTGGTGATCCTTCCGTAGAACGGATGGTAGCTGGGAAAGTGTCAGGTATATGCAGAAGATAAGCAGGAGGAGGGGGTTAGGAGTAAATGTTAACTCTGATTTCTCTTCACAGATGCTGCCAAACCTGCTGAGCTTTTCCAGCAGTTTCTGGTTTTATTTCTAAAACTAGAGGACTTAGGTTTAAGGTGAGAGGGGAAAGATTTGAAATGGACCTGTGGGGCAATTTTTTCCACAGGGTGGTGCATATATGGAATGAACTGCCCAAGAAAGTGGTAGATGCATGTGCGGTTACAGCATTTTAAAGACACTTGGATAGCTACACGAATAGGAAAGGTTTAGAGGGATTTGAGCCAAACACAGGCAAATGGGACTAGTTTAGTTTGGGAGACCTGGTTGACATGGACCGAAGAAGGGTCTGTTTCCATGCTGTACAACTCTAATTATTAAAATCCGCCTGTTTGGCCATACCTTTGGAATTCTAATATTTACTCCATTGATTCACCATCTATTTTCTTTTTATTCAATTTCTTAAGTCTCTGTGAAATGCCTTCAGGCTTTTTCTAATGCATGTCACTGGTTTAAAATTAAAAATACGAGGAGACAGAAAGTTGGGATAAAGAAATAAGGTCAGCCCAAACTTGCTCTCCTAAAGAATAAAGAAGTTGTATAATAAGCTACTAGAGAAAGGCATTGAGTGATATGAATGGGTGATATTTAAGGCATAATATTCATTCCCTTTCTGAGGCACTGTATCAATAGTGTGTACCATTGACAAGATGTAGTGCAGTAACTCATCCAGGTTCCTCTGACAGCACATTCCAAACCTATATCCTCTACCACTTAGAAGGACAGAGCAGGAGGTGCATGGGAGTGCCAGCACTTGCAGTTACCCCCTGAGCTACACATCATTCTGACTTGGCACAGCGTCCTTCACCATCTCAGTCAAAATGCTGGAATTCCTTGACAGCACTGTGGGTGCCCCTGTTCCTGAAGGATTGCAACCATCCAAGAAGAGGGCCACCTCCTTCCCCAGAGAACTCGGGTTAGGTAATAAAAACTGGCCTTGCCAGTGACACCCAAATCCTGTGAACAAATAAAAAGCTATTTTGATGAGATTAATCAGCTGCTGAATAGGCATTTGACAAAATTATTCTGTTCTAAATGATATATTGCTGGCCTTAATGACAAATTATTCTATTGTTGAAAGAAAAGCCTTCCAAACATGTGATGGCATTTTAAAAAAAAATCTTTGTTTATCTCATTGATTTCCACACAGAGATTGCCACCTAAACGACCTGAGCCACCTAGCAGTTGTTTTAACATGAAGGAAAGCCAAGCAGTTGAAGAAGAGGAAGAGGAGGAGGAGGAGGAGGAGGAGGAAGAAGCACACAAGAACAAACCTGCTGGTCTGACCCAAGGACAAGAAATAGAGCAAGAACCAGGCTTGTCTTACCCTACTGATTTAACAGAAAATCCCAGCCACGATAACGGTGAGTTAATGCATAAATTCTTAACTCCTAGCGGCATGGACCAGCAGGAGGGAGCCATCCAAGTCTCCTTTATTACTCTCAGTTCAGGCAGCAGAAGATCTGCTGCAGAAGGCCATCATATGTTTGTGTTAGAGAAAGGCAGATACAGTTGGCCACATTTATGCTCCTGATCTGCCATCCCACTGTGAGTGATCTTCAATTATGAACACTATAATGAGCGGCTTTGATGATGCCAGTGCTTGAGTAGTTTCATGGTACTCACCTTTGACATTCACATGATAAACAGTAAGGTTGGAGCTGCTGGTACCATTTCTCAGTAAAAATCACAGCATGGAGGAGAAAAATATCAGAGCTGGGAAAAACTGCAGCTACACCTGTTCTCTGAAACACTTTAATAAATAATCAAAATGCTTGAGGAAAAATCCAGCATTCTCCTTTTCTTCACTATGTTCTTTTTCTTGAAACACTTCATGGAGAGAATTGGCGATTCTGTTGAAGTGACTGATTGATTGCTTAATCATGCTAAGTTAATTTTGTATCAGTGCTGTCAAACTCAATCCAACCAATTTGCCAAGCACTGAAAAATATATTCAATCCTAATTTTAAGTTTAAATATGGTAGACCATGAATCATAGCTGGAATGACAATGATCATTTAACTCCCCTGTCAGTCAGTTCTGAAGACCACACTGGTGTAACTGACAGGAATTAACTTTATAGACTTCATCTGGAAAATATAATTGTCATCCACTCACTCCATTTTGCTGGAAAGGGAATGATTGAGTTATCAGTCCTTTTCCCTTTTTTTTTAAATTAACCTGATGTGGTGTCAGTACTCACTTTAGATTTTTAAAATACTCTCAACCTATCTCAGCACTTCTTTAGATTATGCTTTGATTTCTGGACATGCTCAGAAAGTCTAGTGATAATGCAATCATAATTCTCCATCAGCCGTGACCTGAACCAGTGAAGTAGCCATAGTCTTCCTAGTACTGGTCCTCGATTAGAGAGATATGGTGGTGGTTTAACCTGAGGGTCATCGTTCTTCAGGCAAGAGGAGAGGTTGAGAAGGAGAGTCCTTCATGGTAACCAAGCCAGTCTGGGCCTTGAACCCACTATTGGCATCATTCTGCATTGCAAATCAATTGTCCAGCCACTTGAGCTAACAGAGCCTCACCAGTGCGCTATACCACTTCTAATACCATTTTCTGAGATTTGAATTTGAGAGTTCCATTGCTCAAAGAGTTGCATCCATAAGCAATTTTGGTGTAATTTATTAAGAGGCAAACATTTATTTAGCCTTTGCGTCAGACGTAGACAGAAAAAGTATATGACCCATGATAGGAGAGAATAGTTTACCAGTCCCAGAGGATGAGCTGATGGATGAAGTCATTGTCTACACCTGGACGTTGTTCTTCTCTAATGTTCTTTGTCATTTCATGCTAACCAGGGTGTTTCCATTTTTCATTCACTTGAAGAAGACTACTCTCCCTCTTCCAGACACATGTTTTTAAACCTTCATTCTACGGCCTGCCAACGTACCCCATGTCAATCACTTGTTTGATCCCACCTGGCCAAGGACAGAAGGATGGCTGCCCAGGACGTAATCACCCCTTGTACATCATTTTGCACAGTCCTCAGCTTATCTCTTTTGTCTTATCTCCTTTGTTAACTCCTGTCAGACATTTATCACACATCTATCAATTCAGAAATGTCACCATGGAGGCTGTAACAGGAGACTTCAACGTGTACCTTTGTGAACACTATTCTCCTTGGCTAATATTTATGTGTGTGCCTGCTATTTTTGGGGAAAGGAAGAAATTGCTTGTTCTTTTTCTAAGTGATCACAATTCTACACCTGTACGTTCTGTATTCTATATTATACCTGCACCTCTCAAAATAGTGGCAGAGTAGCAGGGCTGCATGTGGGCTCTTGGACGTGGAGCTCATCTGCACCTGTTTGCTTACTTTCATTTTTTTGCTTTTCACTTCCACTCTCTCTCTTTCTCTTTCGTTTTCTCGTTCATTTTTCTTTAAAGCCTTTTGCGGCAGGTTAATCAGTGGCATCGGGCCAGCAGCGAGAGCGGCCTGTGCGTAGAATGGCAGCATTATCCCATTGTTCAGAGGTGGCAGACGCAGCTCCCCCTGGTGATTGGAGACAGCGGCAGCAGCAGACCTTTCAAGATGGCGGCGCCAGCAAGGTGACACCTCAGAGGAGGGCAGCCAGAGTGGGACTCTTTGCGAGCAAGTGGCCTGGCCTGGCAGTAGAGCCAAGGAGTCCTGATTTCAATAGGTCAAGAGTAGGGACTCCCGGTTTTGGCGCAGCAGTGGCAATATGGCAGGCCCGGACCAGGGACTCCTGGTTCTCAACTAGGTGGCAGCTTCTGGTTGTGGTAGGCCTGGAGCTCGGATCTCCTGGTTATCGGCAAGACGGCGGCAGCAGCAGAGCCAGGGACTCCGAGTTGTGGAGCGAGTGTGCAGTAAACATGAGACCTAGTATCGGTGTCAGCAAGATGGGACCAATGGCAAAGAGATGGAGCCTAACATGTGGCCACTCCCCCAGCGCAGGCCATAGATAGGAGGTGGAAGTACAGGTGTGGCTGGTGAGCCAATGCAGAATGGAGATGGCGGAACAAAGGCAGACTGTATTTCAGTGATATCTATTTGATTTTATTCTTGACTATTCAAAATGATGCCGGATTGTGGCGACTGTTGAAGCTTTTCACTGTATTTTGCAATATTATTCACTGTAAAATGCAAGTGACAATAAATCATTCAATTCAATTAATCTTAAAGCTCTGTTTTTTACAGTAGACTCACGGTGTTGCATTGAAAAGTATTTGTTCACGGATTTTTAAAAAATATATCATGCTGATAGCTTGCACTTCCTGGTTTACTGCCCTAACTTCAGTGGTATGTGTATGTTAACAATCACCTTGGAAATTGCCATACAAGCATTTCCATTTTTATAAGTTAACCTATGTTACTCATCAACCTGATCAGGGATATTTATTATGCATCTCTGGAGTAGGTGGGACTTGAATGCAGGCCTCCTGGTCCAGGCATAGAGACACTACCCACTGCAGCACATTTTTACTTTTGGCATGTCAACTGTCACAGCCTAATGACAGGTTTTCATCATTAAGGTGGCACATGGAGCAAGTTTCTGAAGTGGCTGACTGTCTTTGAAAAATTTCAGTAGTGAAATGCTTTACTCTTATGAAATTACTCTGTGTTATGAGTTTGTTTTATCACTCTTCTGAAGTGCCTTAAAGGTGCTATAGAAATGCCAGCAAGAGTTTTTGAGAACGAAAGTTCTGTTCTATACCAGTGAGAATTGAGCTTGTAAAACAGAATCTTTGCACCACATGCTATGCTCCGGCTAGCGTGTTCCCATTAGTAATCGTGTATCACCTTAACCTCAATTCTTAACTCCAGTTCTTTTGGGTCAGCCCAGTTGTTCCACCACTTGTTTCTTTTTATTCTTGGTGGCACACAATTTTCTTGGCATGACCTCAATCATCATTCCTTCTTGGTTGTCTTCACTCTCCATACCCATTGTTTTTCAGTAGTTCAGGTTTGAAAGAATGTGTTCTGCTTCAAGGAGCCTGACCTCAATTATAGTCAGCTTGATTTCAGCAGTGTAAAAGGGGACAGGACTGGTTCTAGTTTTTCTTTTAGTAATATCCTCCTCCTGGAATGTGCGCAAATCACCCCAAACACAAGTAAATGTTGTGTAAACAGTTCAGAAAAGTTGGCAACTTGGAAATGACCCTGATTACCAGCCTCTGTCGTGATAACAAATGGTTACACCGGCTTCGTATTTTGAGCCGCAGGCAGACACATTTCTTCACTAGCATTGGAGCAAAATGCAAAAACAGCAGTATGACATTCAGACCTTCAGCCTGTTCTGCCGTTCAGTTAGACCATCACAATTCAGCATCTTAACTCTATCTTCCTGCCTTAGTTCCATATTGCTTGATATTTTTATCTATGCATAAACAAAAATTGTGATTTGTGTGAATCGAGCTGCTGAGTCCACAAAGTTCATTGTGTACTTGTAGAATATTAATTTGTGTCTGCTACGATAGGACATTTAGAATTCTTTATTTGATAAAGGACGTGGATTCAAGTTACAAGGTCATAGAGATGTACAGCACAGAAACAGACCCTTTGGCCCAACTCGTTCATGCCGACCAGATATCCTAGATAGATCTAGCCCCTTTTGCCAGCATTTGGCCCATATCCTTCTAAACCCTTCCTCGCTATATACCCATCCATATGACTTTTAAATGTTGTAATTGTACCAGCCTCCGCCACTTCCTCTGGCACCTCATTCCACATACACACCACCCTCTGCGTTAAAAAGTTGCCCCTTAGGTCCCTTTTAAATCTTTCCTGTATCACCTTAAACCTATGCCCTCTAGTTTTTGATTCTGCCACTCTGGAAAAAAGACCTTGTCTATTTACTGTATCTATGCCCCTCATGATTTTATAAACTTCTACAAGTTCACCCCTCAGCCTCTGACGCTCCAGGGAAAATAGCCCCAAACTATTCAGCCTCTCCCTATAGCTCAAACCCTGCAGCCCTGGCAATATCCTTGTAAGCTTTCAAGTTTCACAACATTCCTCCCCTTAGCGGGGAGACACAGTATTCCAAAAGTGGCCTAACCAATGTCCTGTACAGCTGCAACATCATCTCCCAACTCCAATAATCAATGCACTGACCAATAAAGGCAAGTGTACCAAACATCATCTTCACTATCCTGTCTACCTGCCACTCCACTTTCGAGGAACTGTGAACCTGCACTCCAAGGTCTCTGTTCAGTAACACTCCTCAGGACCTTACATTTAAGTGTATAAGTCCACCCCTGATTTGCCTTTCCAAAATGTAGCAGCTCACATTTATCTAAATAAAACTCCATCTGCCACTCCTTGGCCCATTGGCCCATCTGATCAAGATCCTGTTGTACTCTGAGGTAACCTTCTTCACTGTGCACT